AACACCCAGTGCCCTCCCCGAAATGACCCTACATATGATAAACTTTATAAAATTTGGACACTTCTTTTGTTTCTCTCAGAGAAAATCGGCCCAAATATGCAGTATATTCTGGACAAAAACATGGATAAGTCACTTGTCCACTTCACTAACAGGCTGGGCTTCAAGCAGTTATCACCAGTAAAAGGGCCTGATGTAGGCTGAAACTATACAAGTTGTGCAACAGAGCCAGGGGTGGACTGACAACTCATGGGGCCCCCGGGCAATAGGGGATCATGGGGCCCCTGTGTCCTTGCCCAAACTCAAAAAAGCCTATGAAAAAGGTACCAGGGGCATCTCATGGGGCCCCCTACTGATCCTGGGCCCTCAGGCAGTGCCTGGTCAAATGGTCAGTCCGCCCCTGGATAGAGTAACGGGGTACATGTATACTTTCAGCATGTATGTGTGCAAAACGACACCCAGCTGCTTCCCCCTTACTGCCCAGACTATACTGGAGCTAGGAATGCACTGATACCAGTTATTTATTGGTGAGTACGAGTACCATTGCTTTCAGTCAAGTACTCGCCGATACCGAGTACCAATACTTTGCCATTTGCATTATTGGACGCAAACTGCACCGCAAAGAATAGCTTGTGATTTGAACATAAATTTGATTCCTGTCCAAATTGCATGTGGTTTCTCCACTTCTCCTGTGTGAAACCAGGCTTGTCATAGCTTGAGTTCACAGAGGAGCAGTGCAGAAAACCTCCCTACAGGCATCCAATTGCTGAGTGCCAGTGGTTGGAGAGGAGAGAACACGGCGGAGCTTTGAAATCCTTTCTTTACTGACCAAGGCCCTAAGCCTGATATTTCTGCCTGCTGCCGACTGACCCTGGCCTGTTAATTGATCATGCCTCTGCCTGCTGCTTGAACAGACAACACCTCTGCCTGTTACCTGTACTGACTCTGGCCTGTTAATGGACCATGTTCCTGCCTACTGCCCTGTCCAATCTTTTGGCTGTGCTGGCCATGCCTCTGACTGCTGCCTTCTGCCTGGACAGTTGCTTTGGCAGTTGTGGACCATTTCTCTGCTTGCTGTCTGGACCAATGCTTTGGCTTTGTGCTGACAATATCTCTGACTGCTGCATGTAGTGACCCTGGACTGTTTATGGACAGTATCCCTGCCTGCTGCCTAGATGATTCCCTTCACTTTCGCTGACCATGTCCCTTTCTTCTGCCTGGACCAATGCTCTGTGGACAACTTCATTGCTAAAACCACAGGTGATCTTTTGTTTACCCTTTTCCCAGCAGAATGTGGTCATTTTGTGGGTGTTTCTACTGTCCTGGTGCTACAGGGCCTCCAAAAATGAAAAGGAAATTAGATGTTTAATTTATTCCTCTAGATCGCCTGAAGGTGCTACTTGGATGTTGGGCCTCTCTATGTGGCCTGGCTGTGGAAAACTCTCAAACATGTTGTATTGCCATACTCATAGTAGCAGAATGTGTTTTGGCATGTAATTATTGGTATGTACATGCTACGTGATAGAAATATCTTATAAATTGACAACTCTGTGTGAAAAAAAATATATTTTCATTATCTTTCCATTTTTTCCAAATACTTGTGGAAAAAAATGACATGTTCAAAAGAGTCATTATGCCTTATAGAATATATGTTGAAGTGTTTGCTTTCCAAACTGTGGTCATTTTGTGGGTAATTCAATTGTTCTGGTGCTCCAGGGCCTTCAACTATGCCATGTCATAGGTTGTCAGGAAATTAGATGTGTAATTTATTCCCATAGAACGCCTGTCCTGTATATCGTATATCATCATTGTGTTGAGTAGATGCCACCTATTGGGTGTTCACTGCAATAGCTTTTGCTTTTAATATTAACTTTCAGCAAGAACAGGAAGTGTTTCATGTTTGTTAAGAGTAAAGATTTCCCATAAACCATTGCAGGCATTTAATTTTCTTGAAGAACACTAGTGAAGGTCTCCTCCATTCTCCCTTTGATACACATATGGCTATAAGTTCTTGCATTGTGTTCATTAAAGTCACATACATAGCTAGATCACATTTAAATGTATTCAAGGTGATCTGTAGCTAGCTGTTTGCAAGAAATGAATGCATTGTATGCATTTGCGAGAGACGTATACAATGCATATTGTAATTTCAGTTTATGTGATTGTATTGCTGTTTTTACAGAACTATTCACAGAAGTTAATTTAGTTTTGGAATTAAACAATGCTGCTTCTGTCAGTTTTGTTAGCTAGCTGTCAGCTAACCAGCATAACTCCTGAAGGTGCTATTTGGGTGTTGGGCCTCTCTATATGGCCAGTCTGTGAAGGAGTCTCACACATGTGGTATCTCCATGCTCAGGAGGACAAGCAGAATGTGTTTTGGGGTGCAATTGCAAGTATGTCTAGGCTATGTGTGAGAAAAAAATAATAATTTAATTTTCCAAAGAATTGTGGGAAATAAATTACATCTTCAAAAAACTCACCATGCCTCTTACTAAATATTTTGTACTGTCTACCTTCCAAAAAGGGGTCATTTGGGGAATATTTGTACTTTCCTGGCATGTTAGGGTCTCAAGAAATTAGATAGACAGTCAGTACATCAGGATTAATCAATTTTCATTGCATAGCTTGTCTGAGGACTTTAACTGAAGTAGAGCACATGCCTGGAGACCCAGAATAGGGTACCCTGCGTCTGGTAAAAACTAACATTGCAAGGTAATCTGTTGTCTGCTGGGAATTGTTGTGTTTTCTTTAAGGGCCCCAACTTTGCCCCAACAGTTCTGTTAATTACTGTTAGAATACTGCTGGTGTTTAACCATATCTCTTGTCTTATTGATTGTATAAGGACACTTGCTAGCCCTCTGTTCTTTTAGGCTATGCTTTTAGGCTTTTATTATGCTTTTTAGGCTATTCTTCTGGGTTAATAAATTCTTTGAAGTACCGCAAGGTATGTTGGTAAGTTCTGGGTGAGCGAGATATGTCAGGTGTTCAGAGAAATCACAAAACAAATCAGAGGCCACCAGGGGTATCACTACAAATACTTTTTTCTATTTTTTTATTTAGTTACATAAGCTGTTAATAAAATTTTGCCAGCAGCACCTAGGAGAGGGTAACAGCACAATCCTGGTGAGATCCTGGGAATGCTGAGGATCTTAAATCGTGTGAGAAAATGGTCCTGTTCTGTGCCAGAGCATCTTCTTATGTGATTTGGGATGCTAAGCTTTCCCCAGCTCTTGGGGATTGTGACATTACCCTGTCTTGTGTGGAGTGTACCTTGCATTTTGTTGCATGGTTCATTTTAAGTAAATTACAAGCTTAAGCTGACACATTTCAAGCAATTACAGCTACTGGGTTTTCCTTTGAAAAAAAAATGTTTAAGCCATATGAATAAAGGTTAAAGAGGTTCTATAGGCTGAAGGTTTTATTACCTTCATACATTCAGGCTTCAGGCTTACCTGAGCCCCATTGCAATTCAGCACTGTGCCCGGATCTCCTGGGTCTCTCCCTCCTCACTGGCAGAGGCACAGCAGTGGGAGCCATTGGCTCCTACTGTTGTCAATCACAATCACAGACAGTGAGTAGGGAGTGGGGGGCGGGACTGAGCCACACTCTGGGTGTCCCACAGACACAAAGAGGCAGGTGCCCCCAGAGCAAGCAGCTCGCCATGGGGGAGCGGCCACCAAGCACCGGCAGGGGACCCGAGAAGAGGAGGGTTAGGGCTACTCTGTACAAAACCATCAGAGCAGGTAAGCATAACATGTTTGTTTTTTTGTTATTGGAACCTTTAGAATCACTTTAACAATGTTACTCATTCTGTGTAAAAATTTGCCCCATATCCTGTAATGTTACTTTTGCGGAACAGCTTGGTCTGCATGTAAAATCCACTTATTGACCACACTATAGCCAAATGAAGGCTATGGTCATCCAGTTCTGGGAGGGCGTCATTTGATGTCTTCCCAGAACGCGTCCCCTGAGGTGCGTACCCAGCGCTCTCTCTGATCAATTTGTCCAATCACAGCTGATTGCCATGTAAATACACTTGCCGGTTATCGGCAGTACTTTTCTCATGCTGTCGCAGCGTGAGGAAAGTACTGCCGATAACCGGCAACAGTGAGAGGAGACATCTACACTGACCTTTACTTATACATTAAAAGTACATCTCCAATTTAGCTTTTCATATGCCCCCCACAAGCCCCTTCCCCAAACTTTCTCCCCACACCTGTTCTAAAGTTAAAAATTCCTTCTTAAACGTCTTTATTCATGGGGTGCTATAGCTGGTCATGTGATTTTTTTAAAAGACTTTTTCCTCTTTCCCCTGTAGCAGCAATGAGCAGTTTTCAATACTCCAGAGACATTATTACTTTATTGCATCTTTTTGCAGTGCTTTGAGCCCAGGCCAACAAGGTGGTGTAGGTCCAGGGGCGGCTGCATGATAGTCTGGGCTCACAGGATGTACACTATATTGCAAAAAGTATTGGGACGCCTGCCTTTACATGCACATGAACTTTAATGGCATCCTAGTTTTAGTCCGTAGGGTTCAATATTGAGTTGGACCACCCTTTGCAGCTAAAACAGCTTCAACTCTTCTGGGAACTTGTCCAAATGCCTTGGTATGTTGACACCTTAAGAGTTCCCTTCTTTGCAACTAAGGGGCCAAGCCCAACCCCTGAAAAACAACCCCATACCATAATCCCTCCTCCACCAAACTTTACACTTGGCACAGTGCAGCCAGGCAAGTACCGTTCTCCTGGCAACTGCCAAAACCAGACACATCCATTGGATTGCCAGACAAAAAAGTGTGATTCGTCACTCCAGAGAACATGTCTTCATCGCTCTAGAGTCCAGTGGCGGTGTGCTTTACATCACTGCATTCAACTCTTTACATTGCACTTGGTGATCTAAGGCTTGTATGCAGCTGCTCGGCCATGGAAACCCATTCCATGAAGCTCTCTATGCACTGTTGTTGTGCTAATCTGAAGGCCACATGAAGTTTGGAGGTCTTTAGCTATTGACTCTGCAGACAGTTGGGGACTTCTGCACACTGTGTGCTTCAGCCCCTGCTCTGTCATTTTAAGTGGCCTACCACTTCGTGGCTGAGTTGCTGTTGTTCCCATTTGCTTCCACTTTGTTACAATACCATTAACAGTTGACAGTGGAATATTTAGTAGCAAGGAAATTTCACAGATGGACTTATTGCACAGGTGGCAACCTATCTCGGCACCATGCTTGAATTCACTGAGCTCCTGAGAGCGACCCATTCTTTCACAAATGTTTGTAGAAGCAGTTTACATTCCTAGGTGCTTGATTTTATACACCTATGGAGGTGATTGGAACACCTGAATCCAATGATTTGGAGGGGTATCCCAATACGTTTTGCAATATAGTGTATGTTGGATCATGCTGGCCATTACTCAAACAGGAAGGGGACTGATGACAGGAGGCACAGTGGAATTTTTAGGGGAGGAAGGGGAGTAGTGTGGAGTCAAATTAGCACTGCAACTGCTTTTTTATTTTTAAAAATGCTGGGCAATATTTTACAAAAAAAAATGACAAAAATCTGTACTTTACCAAAATTAAAAAATTAGGTAATACCTTAGTCTTTAACCAATATCTCATGGTTTTAATATGTCACCTTGCCATCTTTTACATTGACACAGAGCTCATCAGAAGGATAGAGTTCACCTGTCTAGAAACACGAAGGGGATTTAATGAGCATAAAAAGATGTTACAACGGTGCACCAAAGTTCTTTTGTTAAAATTGGCTATGGAATCCCCCGTTACTATGACAACTACACCAGGAAAAATGGAAAAGCACAGACTACAATTTACTTTAATAGCCACCCTTTGCAAACACAGTCATTAAATACTAACACGAGGCCTCTGGGCACCTCACATTCCACAAATACTCTGCAAAATTTTCGAATTGATGCTTAAAAATGACCTCAATTAAAATGATAACCTTAACACATAAAAGGAACTGATGACTGGTTAAAAGAAGAAGATAAGCAAATTAAAAAAATATATTGTTACATCTGGCACATAAATCTTAGCACGAGTTGGTATAGCAATGCTTCAAGGTCAGAGCAGTCAATGTCCACTCTATGTTTGGTTAGCCGATTTTCTGCTACTAACCTCCTTGCTCATTTTCTGCTCAGGTCACAGGGTGAGCTCCTTACACTTTTATGTGAGGAAATATCCATGGTATGTAAGATAGGACAGCACCTTTCTCCAGAGTTCACATACAGTATAGGCTTTCATTTTGGATTAACTGTTTGAAGTATAATGCCTGTTTTATTAAAGCAAAACTAGCATTTTGATCACTTTAACAAAAACTGCAATAAATATAAAGGAACCATTCAGGTGTCATTTTATGTATGAAAATGAGTCCTGTGTGCATTAGGTCTGTTGACTGCCTTACAGGGGCGGACTGACAACTCATGTGGCCCCCGGCAATAGGGGATCATGGGGCCCCTGTGTCCTTGCCCACACTTAAACCACACCCAAAAAAGCTTATGAAAAGTATCAGGGGCATCTCATGGGGCCCCCTACTGAACCCGGGCCCTTGGGCAGTGTCTGAGTTCCCAAATGGTCAGTCCGCCCCTGCTGCCTTATGATGATAAGAAAAGGTGGTCAGACATGTTGGACTTGCCACGCTAGTGCAAAAGTGTATCCTTCTGTCAGGAAGTATCTCCAATGTTAGTGATGGGTTCCCTCAGAATTTAAGGAGAACCTCTTTACAGCAGAGCTCCAAATAATAAGAAAAAAATAATGCCCTGAGTGCCCGTCCATACTGCCTACAACTTAATAGGTGCTAGTACAGCTCAAGGGCTTGCCCCTGCAAAACATGTGCAACCACACACATGCACCACCACATACTAAGATCCAGTACTCCAAGAACGTTTTTTAAATCAAGCTGGTCAGAACATGACACTGCCTGTATGATTTCATTCTAACTCATGTTACCCAACACCTAGGCTTCACCTCTATAACTTAGTCTGGGGGTTGGGTGAAACACATCAGGTGGAAGGATCCCCAAGGGCCAATCCTGGTCATCAGGATTAAAGCTGTTTGATTGGATCACTTCAAATAATGAAGATGGACTCTGTCTTCAGGGTAAATCTGAGGTGGCTCTTGAATTCCCCCCACTGGGGACAGTTGTAATTGGCAGGAAACTACTTCAGAAGGTTAAGAGGATCCTGGCAGGCAAGGTAAGAACAGAAGCAGGAAAAGTAAGAAGAGAAGCAAATAACAAATACAAACACAAATGAACAGATAGGGAAACAAAGTAACAATCATCAGACTGGACAGAATAAAATAGTCACACACCAAACCACGCAATGAAACAAAGTGATGGCCACACATCAAACTTCCGCCTTACCTGAAAATGTTATTGATCTAATAATCATTCTCCTTTATCAATAAAGTTTTATCACAAGGTGAAAGTTTGGTGTGTGGCCTCTGTTTTCTTGTACACTGAGTTTAGATACACCCAGACACGCACTGTCTGAACCATGCACCATTTGTCTAACCAGAGGCATGAAGTAGAGCATTTCACACGTACTGTATCAATTGTAGAATACAAGGTGGAACAGTAGTTGAGGACAATATGAGAAGCCAGCAGTCAAGCATCAAAAAGAAGCAAAGGTTCAGCAACAAGATGGGTGACAACAGATAACTTGATTGTTAAGTGTGGAAAAACAAGAACAAGACAGGAGCTGATGAAATATAGACACACACAGCACACTAGCTTTATGAAGAGTGAAAATGATTGCACCTTCTGCATGCATTCTTTGCTTTTAGAATGCATTTCACGAAAAGTATTTGTAGAGCTCCAGCTCTTGGGCCTTGTACTTTAAAAGGGAATGCTTTATGATTGTTTCTGATGCCCACTGGACGCCCTCAAATGTTGCAATGGAAAAGCTATACTGAGCTGAAGAGCTCAGGGTATACTGCATGCCTGCATTCACTTGGTGTACATGACATAACCTGCACAACCCCATCAGCCTCTTCAGTCAATAATGTCCATAGGAGATGGTGATCACTATGGATCCTGCAGCTCCTCTATGATCAGGGATGATACCTTATTCTTTCACTTAATTTTTGTTGAAAAAGACAGGCAAAGTAAACATACAACCAGTGCACTTTGGGTTTGGTGTAAGGCAGGGCTTGAAATTTCCACTCGCCTGCTTCGCAATTTGGCTAGTGAAAATAACATGTGGGCGAGTGTGTCCCAGGCACCACATCAGAGGGTGGGGGCGGGTGCTACCAGCAGCAACAACCTGCCCCGAGCACTGTGTTGAGGGGGGGCGCACTGTGGGTGCCGCTCCTCAGTGACCGGAGTGATCGCAGTTTCACTCCTATCACAGGGAGCAGCTGCTGACACTTGCTGGAGGGAGTACTAGGCTTTCTCCTCCCTCCTGCCTGCAGGGGGCAATAGACAGCCAGCACTAAGGAGTGAAGGCAGAGTGTCCTTCCTCTCTCCCCTTGTCATGTGACTTATCACGTGACTGAAGTAGGGAAAGAAGGAGAAGCTGCATTCACGAGAAGATCTGTGAGTCCAAGGGGGAAGGGTGAGGTTACACTTATGGGGACACCTGATGTAAAGGGGGGCTCTGATGGGAACATCTTATATAAAGGGGGACTCTGATGGGGACACCTGATGTAAAGGGGGACTCTGATGGGGACACCTTATATAAAGGGGGATTCTGACGGGGACACCTGATGTAAAGGGGGACCTTGATGGGGACACCTTATATAAAGGGGGGACTCCAATGGGGACACCTGATGTAAAGTAGGACTCTGATGGGGACACTTATTTTCATTTTATGTTTACATTATTTTATGTTAACCACTTGCCCTCTAGACTCTATTAAGCTCTTTATTCTAAAGAAAAATGTCATTTCATAAGCTTAAGTGGGGGTGGTTGGGGACAGAGCTGGGGGTGGGGTTGGGTGATGGGCCTGGGGTGGGGTTGGAGGCGGACCTGGGCAAGGTTTGGTGAGGCAACTGGTGAAGAGTAAGGTTTTGGCCTGGCTAGTAGGTCTAGACTTGAAATTTTAAGCCCTGGTGTAAGGTACAGTTAATGTAAATGAAAATTATACCAACAACATATTAAAAACTCCTAATCATAACAGAATCTACTCACCGGTGTAGTTGACCAAGATTTATGGTAGCAGCTGATTAAAAGGAAATAACACATTAGACAATAAGGGCTAACATGGTCACAGTGATCCTAAAGTGCTATAATCCATTTTAACAGGTAAAATAACATCACAAGAAAAGCAATGGGCATATTAGCAATAAAGCTGTAATATATTGTAAACTCAATTTTGTACGTTATGAACAATTGGGAGAACATAACTACTTGCCTATGATCACCTGCAAATGAGTAGAAATAAAGGGAGTTGAAGAGGAAAAAGGCACATCAGCCTGGTAGAGGGAGCCTACAAGAGGAATAGAAAAAAAAGGGGAAATAAGAAAAAAAAAAAGGGAGGGGTAAAGGGAGAAACCCAAGAGGCCTCTGCTGACTTGCATAAAAATAGCATATAACCAATGCTCCAAAAAGTGCCTAGTCAGTTGCAAGGGTGGGAAACAATAGAATCAAGGCTGCCAGGTATGTAGGAAGTTGGTGTAGGTATCATTGGATATTGCCATAAGCCTTTCATTAACCACTTCAATACTGGGCAATTTTACACCTTCCTGCCCAGGCCATTTTTCACGTTTCAGCGCTCTCACACTTTGAATGACAATTGCGCGGTCATACAACATTGCACCCAAACTAAAATTTTATACTTTTCTTCACACAACTAGAGCTTTCTTTTTGTGGTATTTAATCACCGCCGTGGTTTTTATTTTTTGCTAAATTAACAAAAAAAGACCAAAAATTTTGAAAAAAACCCACGTTTTTCTTTGTGTCTGTTATAAAAGTTTGCAAATAAATAATTGTTCTTCATAAATTTAGGCCGAGATGTATTCTGCTACATGTCTTTGGTGAAAATAACCCAAATTAGGATGTGTTATTTAGTTTGTAGGAAAGTTATAGAGTTCACAATCTATGGTATAGATCTGAAAATTGATCAATCCTGAAGTACTGACAGCCAATCTAATTTCTTGAGGTCCCAGAATGTCAGAATAGTACAGATATCCCCAAATGACCCCTTTTTGTAAAGTAGACAGTCCGACGTACTTCATAAGAGGCATGGCGAGTTTTTTGAAGTTGTATTTTTTTTGTCATAATTTTTCGGAAAATGAAAAAATTAAAAAAATGATTTTCACTATTTTTTTTTTTTACCTACTGTCACCAGTGCAGTACAGCATCATCGTATAACTGGCATGGCAGTGATCAGGGACACTGACTGGTGACAGTATGAAAAAAAAAAAAATATATTTTTTTTTTTTT